TTCCACCAGACCACCACTCGAATGTGAAGTCTTGCAACTCAGGCGCAGCCAGATCTCCCAAAGCACGGGTATACGCCGTGACGTCGCCGATTGTTGGACTGAAGTCTTGGTTTTTAAGCTGCAAGAAGAGCGTGCGGATACGCGGGAGTTGCTTAAGCGCAAGCATGGGCGCCCACTCTCGGCGCTCGGGATCCAGAGCATATATGTGGTTGGGGTCGATGTGAACGTGCAGGAGGGCATCGCCATGCCCATGAGCAATGCCTTCCTTGAACCGCTCGATGTCGTAGAGGTTCAAGCGAACACCGGGCCAGTACTGGCTGGCATGGGCAACGTTGCGCCAAACGCGGCAGACGTGAGCGAAAGTGAGCTGCGGCTTGAATGATCGTGGGACGTAATCATCTCTCCAGTGGCGTTGCAGTTGCAGTACATCTCTGACGTGTTCGTAGGGGACGTGGGAGAATATTTGCTCAAGAAGCTCGGGAGGGAGACATAAGACATTAGCGGGACGTTCAGCCGCGGGGATGGACATGGGCACAGTGTGTAGACCCGGGGTGTGGCAGAGGCGATGGAAGGAAGAAGCAAGGACTGCTCGGCAGTGCTCGCGCAGCGCTCTGAATCAATATCCCCATCAGCGCGCGTCTGCACCGGCAGCTCACGGCGATACTACTCTTGCTCTCGGTTATGACATCACGATCATCAATCAGCTACGATGCGTATAGACCGGGCACAGGGTCGAGTTGCAAGTTGTTGTATGTCATTGCCAGTCTCTAGCAAGTACATTATATATCGATTCGATGCCAAGCTTGTACAGTAACTACAGTACTAGTAGTATACAACAGGGCCTCAGTCAGGAACTCGAGACCTTTCAGTCATCATACTCATCTAGTTATCGTCTACTCACTATCTCCTAACATTGACTTGGACCGGGATCTACTATCTCCACATTCCCCTCCCCAAAGACAGTATCAGCGAATGTCTCCTTCCTGATGGTACACTCGCGTAGCAGCAGCCTGACCAAGCTTGGGCGAGCATCGCGAGCGTTTTGAAGCGATTGCAAGATCGTTGCCTCCCTGTTCTTGTCCAGCATGGCGATGCCAACCAACTCTATACAAGCGAGTTGGGAAAACAACTGGGCGTCATTTGGGATGTCGTCGAGAAGCCGTAGGCATTTTTTATTGAGAGCTAGATGCGTCGTGCCAGCGAAGCGTCGCAATATGGTCGGGGGTGGGATGCGAATAGGGATGGATCGTGCGCTGAGGTCCAGCCGCGGTATCGTCTCCAATGAGAGGATGGCGGTCAGACTCTCCTCGAAGAATGCCCTATCGAAGCTTCCCCGCGTTAAGGAGAAATCGGGCTGTGGGACGAGATGACCGTCGGCGGATAAATCCACCCTCGGAGCGTCCGGTTTGCGCGTCGTAGGTGCACGGAGCTGTATACAGTAGGCGAGTGGGTAGGCCATGGTGAAGCCGTATGCGGATGAGATGAGCGAACGACCTTCAGGCGAATCGAAATGGCGGTGAATTGAATCTCTGACCTGAAGCGCAACGGGCTCTGGTGCGACGTCCAGTCCAGAAAACATAAGGTCGACCGTGGTGGTGGGAGGGAAAGTAACGTGCTTCAAGAACGCAGCGACGTTCGCGGAAATGTCCAAGATGAAAAGTTCCTTCAACTCGGGAAGATCCACAGCACTGTGTTCAGAGGACGCAGCAAGACCGCTGGGACTGATAATTTGGCACATCGACAGATTGAGGCATTGAAGATGCTTCCATCGGGAAACGGTATCCACGAGCTCGTCGATGGTGCTGAACATATGGACGTTTCTGAAGTTGATGCGGACAAGGTTCTCGGAGTGTAGGATCGTCTGAAGGGTGGACAAGTTGCACCACGACAATGTGAGATAGCGCAGGCGGGGGCAAGGCTTCTCCATGTGGTCGAACCTGAGCCTGTCTCCCCCAGACGACCACTCGCACGTGAAGTCTTGCAACTCGGGCGCAGCAAGACTTTCTATAGCATGCGCATACGCCGTGATGTCGCTAATCATGTTATTGTCGTACTGGCCCCTAAGCCGGATGAAGAGCGTGCGAATGCGTGGAATTTGCTTAAGCGCAAGTACAGGCGCCCACTCTCGGTACTTGGTCCGCATGGCACCATCGTGCTTCAAGTCGATGTGGATGTGGAGTAGAGCATCGCCATGGCCATGAGCAATGCCTTCATCGAATTGTGCGGTGTCGAGGAGGTTCAAACGAACACCGGGCCAGTACTTGCTGGCAAGGGCAGCGTCGCGCCAATCGCGACAGACGTGAGCGAATGCGAGCTGCGGCTTGAATGATCGTGGGACATGATCCTCATTCCAGTTGCGTTCCAGTTGCCGAACGTCTGGGGCATGTTCGAAGGGAACGTAGGATAGTATTTGCTCAAGGAGTTCGTGGGGGAGCCGTAGGGAAGCAGCTGGTCGTTCGGCCATGGGGAAGGACATGGGTAGCGTGTGGAACGGGGTTGAACAAGGCGATGGAAGCAAGAAGCAAAAGCGATTGGTAGCGTGTAACTTTGGATCGGTCCCATCAGCGCGCGCCTACGGACCCGACGGGTCAGCATACGTTGAGCATACGTACGAGGCAGGCGTCTGAGCGTGCAAGGTACCGGACAATATCAAGCGTAGCAAGCATTTCACATAGATTCAAGCACGTTCTACTTTACATTGTCTGTTCCTATTTCAATATTGACAGGAGGGTATCTGGATCGCCTGGCGTGAGCCAGCGCCAAGGATGCCAGCGAGAAAGCTTCACGCACAGGGAATTTACTCGTTGAAGAACTCAAGCGGGGTATCCGCGGTCTGGATGGCCTGCCAAGTCGTAGGATGGCCGTAGGCGTCCTTGTGGCCCTCGTCGGTGAAGAGCGAGTGGAAGACGACATCCTCATCACCCTGAGCGGACACAATGAGTGACTATACGCAGAATCAGGAAGCGCCATGCTTACCCTGTTCGGGGGATCGTGAATGCTGAAGAGATGAGGTTAAACAACAGCAGCACCATATACGGTAAACGACCTACCGCACGTGGATGAATCCTTCGCCCAGATCGTCGTTGACAGCGGGGATCCTGATCTTTCCCAGGACAATGGTGCCGTAGCTGGTGGGCCCCGAGCGGACTTCAACAAGGTCCTTCTCAAGGGAGAAGTCGACGAGTTGCTCGTCAGACAGTCCGGCTGCGCGCGACCACATCTTGGGCTCGTGCTTATCCCAGTCGCGGCGAGACTTCAAGATCTCATGCTTGATCTTGGATAGCACGACGCCGAAAGCCTCGATAGCATTGGGATGAGGGGCGTGGGGCGCGTTGAGCACAACCTCTGAGGAGTCGGCCATGGTGAACGGAGATCAAGACGCGAACGAGCTGTGCGAAGGGAGATAAAGCCGACGCGACTTTGACGGAAACGAACTTCTCTTGTAACCCCCACGAGTGCATGTCGTCGACTCAACAGCAGCCCTCGTCTACGCCCAAGCCGACTCTCCAGGGTGTTCGCATACGAGCACGCAAGGGCGCCGTCAAGGCCCAGGCCAAACACGAGCCCACCGTCTTCCGCGACGCGCTCTACAAACATCTCGAATCCGTGCCCGAAGGCGACTTTGACGCAGTCTCCAACAAACTCATCCAAGCTGGATCCACTCTCGAGTTCTTGAAGTACTCCGATGCACTCTTTGATGTCCTGCTCGCTGGCGGCTTGCTCCAGCCCGGTGGCGCCTACCTCGACGCCGATGGCCCGACGAGCCCCTTCTCTATCACCCAGGCGGCTGAGCCGCCCACCGTCGACGAGATGAAGAAATACGTCGACGTCTTCAACAAGCTCATTCGCCGGTACGTGGCTTTGACTCCGAATGGATGGATCATGTCTGATCGCACTTCTCAGGTACAAATACCTGCAAAAGCCGCTTGAGGAAAACTCACTCCCGACGCTTCTCCAATACGTCAACAAATGGGCTCCGGCGCAGCGCGACAAGTTCGCGATAGCGACCGGCCTGTTGATCGGCCAAGGTCTCGCGACGGCCGCCTGCCTGCAGAGCCTTACTCGCGACCATCTGGTCAAGGGCGATGCATCCATCGGCGTATTGACGACCATCTTCCGCGCCTACCTTGCCGACTCCAGCATCGACCATCTTGCGGGTGCACTCCGCAAGGGCGGCATCAAGGACTTGCTCGCGTTCTTCCCGCCCAACAAGCGCGAAACGTCCGTGCTCGACAAGCACTTCCGCGAGTCAGGCCTGCCTCAGGTTGCGGAGTGGTGGACCAAGCGCCAGAACGCCATCATCCGGGATGAAGTCATCAGGACGATCAAGGAGTCTCTTGATCAAGACGAAGTCAAGGACCAGGACGTGCGCACCGGTTGGCTTGTGCCTTACTGAAACGTATACTGATTGACGTGTAGGTCATCGCGGCGGTCCGGTCGGTCATCGAGGAGCGTCCGCTGCCAGAGTCGGAGCTCGTTGCGTGCATGTGGCAGGGCCTCATCTCGCACGTCGACTGGAGCGCTCGCCCCGACCAAATTGAAAACCTTGCGCTGCGCGAAGTATCGGTATGCATTATCGTTCTAGTTTGTTAAACACCGTGACTGAACAGATATACGCAGAAATTCGCACCGATTCTTGAGCCGTTCTGCACTGGCGCCAAGACTCAGGTGGCGCTCATTAACACCGTTCAAGTGTATTGTTACGAGGATACGCGCATAATGAAGGCCTTCCCCCAGATTTTGAAGGTAAGCACACATCTATGATTGGTGGATATGCGTGACTGACTGCTCGTACAGGTTCTGTATAACAAAGACTGTATTTCTGACCAAGCGATTATCTATTGGCACGGCAAGGGCTCGAAGCCGCAGGGTCGCCAGCACTTCCTCAAGGCGACCGAGGCGCTTGTCAAGGTCTGTTACATCGTCATAGACGCTGTGAAAATACTGACTGATCTGGTCCGTACAGTTCCTCAAGGAGACCGACAGTGACGAAGAAGATGATGAATAGACGCTCGTTCCGCTTTTGCCATAATGTAGCCTACACCATGAGGACGATGTTACCCGTTTCACTTGTGATCGTCAATGCCAATCTGCCCGTCGTCACGTCAGGAAGTTCTTTGCGAGCTCGTGCTGTAGCCACTAGCCGTATATGGGAATGCTATTGTTACAAAGTGTATTCCAAAAGCGGTAGATAAAGCCAAAGTCTAAGCGCGTCCAATAAGTCCACGTGGGTGCGCGCGGAGCCACGTCGGTGCTGGTCAAGCGATTCGGTCGCAGGCCCAGTGCATTCCATTCCCAACCGTCGACATTCATCTACTGCTTGCAGTGCTTGTAGCAGAGGTCGTCGCCATCACCAGGTCTAATACCCGTCAAAGGCTTATTCGTTAAACGGACACCCGTACAATGTCAATGGACGCAGCCGAGTTCCAGGCGAGCCGCACTTTACTGCCAGCACATCTTATAGCTGCTAACATTATGATTGTGATACGTAGAGACGCCACAACTTGGAGGGTGCCCCGGACCCGTTCCCGTCGCTCAACGACCCGACTCCGCGCAAGAGCAAGGCGCCCGCGAACGCCCAGGCGCCGTCGGCCGACAGCGAGGAAGCGTTCCCGTCCCTCGCGCCGGCCTCGCGCCCGGCTTCGCAGGCCAGCTCCTGGGCTCCTCGCATCGCGCGCGCGGCCGCGCCGGTTGTGCCCCAGGTCACGGAGAGTTTCACGCTCGGTGCGATCGATCTGAGCTCGGCCGGCAAGGACGGCAAGCCCGCTACGCTCGGCGAGGTCATCAAGGGCGTCCTGGCCAAGCACAAGGGCGTCAAGATCGAGGCCGGCTCCAACCAGCGCGCGCGCCAGACGACGTTCAATCTCAAGGCTGAGAACAGGAAGGAACTTGAGAAGGCCAAGCGGGCGCTGCTCGCTGGTCTCAGCCCTACGGTGAGCATCCATCGAGCGCTGTGGGGAACTTTTTGGGGAAGCTGCGCGACACGGGCCGGTTCTGACGGCATATGGCGTCTGTATACGGCTGGGGTTGTACACTCACGCACGTTCGGTCGCTTCTCGGGTACAAGCGCTCTGCGCGGCTTGATACCAGGATGCTGTGGCCCTGATTTACATTGTCTGCGGACGGAGAAGTCGGCGCCTACGGCTGTCAACAAATATGCTAACTTCGTTCCTATCTAGGTCACTCTCACGGTCAACGCGCCTCAATCTACGATCCCGTCAATCATCGGTCCAAAGGGTGAGCAGACTGCCGCATCCGACGAGCTCCAACTGACTTCTTTTCAGGTGCCAACCTCAAGGAGATCCGCGACAAGATCAACGTCCGCATCGACATCCCCCGTCGCGACAACCTCGCTCCCGGCAACGGCCATGCTAACGGTCACGCTCGCTCCGGCGCTGCTACTCCCATCGACGAGGATGAGGATGAGCCCACTATCCCGATCAGCATCTCTGGCGCCCAGCCGCTCGCTGAAGAGGCCGCGGACATCCTCAGGTCTATCATCGCTTCCAAGACGGCCAAGACTACCCAGCGCGTCCGTGACATCCCGGTTCACATTGTTCCCTTCGTCAAGGCTCGCCGTGCCGCCTACGTCCAGGCTGCCGGTGGTGCGGATGTCCAGCTCTCCCTGAACAGTGCCGAGCGCGAGTTCAGCGCGACCGGTGACCGCGAGGGCGTTACCCGCGTCATCGAGGCCGTCAAGAGCGTCGTTGCGCAGACTCAGGCTCAAATTACGTCTGTCAAGATCCAGCTCCCCAAGCGCCAGCACCGTCTTCTTGTTGGAAAGGCCGTCGACGAGATCATGACCGAGTCTCACTGCTCCGTTACGGTCCCCTCGCCTGAGGACGCGAACGAGGAGGTCACCGTCTACGGTCGCGCCGAGGAGGTCGGCAATGGTCTCACCGCCGTCATGGCCAAGGCGAACTCGCAGTACATCCATGAGTTCCCGCTTCCCGGTCCTATCTCGCTCTCTCGCCAGCTTCTCACCTACATCGTTCGCACCGGCTACACCAAGTCGCTTCAGGCTTCACACCCCGGCGTCACCGTCTTCACTCCTTCGCTCAAGAGCACCGCCGCTACGCTCAATATCGATCTTGTTGGCGAGAAGGGTGCCGTCGATGGTGCGGTACGCCAGGTCTCCGGTCTTATGGGCAAGATGATTGGCGCCGTCAAGGAGGTTCAGGCAGACTGGCTCGTGCACAAGCTAATCCAGGCCAAGCACGCGAAGAAGATCAAGGCTTTCCACGACACGAACAACGTCCTGCTGCTCTTCCCGCCCGAGTCGGAGGAGACGAGCGCGATTCTCCTCGTCTACGACCCTACTTCACCGAACGCGTCGCCCTCTCCCGTTGAGAAGGCGAAGCAGCTTGAGGATGTCGAGAAGGAGGTTACCAAGTGGGTGCGCGACGCTGCGGATGTCAAGACCGTTGAGGTCCCGGTCGAGCGCAAGTGGCACGACGCCGTGACGGGTCCGAATGGCACGACGCTCAACGCGCTCATTGGCGAGGAGCGGGCCTTGTCCATCAAGGTCGGCGGCGAGTCCGGACATGCCGATGTCATCATCGTTCGCGGTGCGAGCGGCGATGTCGACCGCGCTGTCAAGGAGATCCAGACTATCGTCAAGGACGCTGAGGAGGACAAGATTCTCAGTGGCTACTCGGTCGAGTTCGAGATTGACCGCGAGTATGTTGCCCGTATCGTTGGTGCTCAGGGATCGGCTGTCAACAAGCTCCGCGATACGCTTGGTGTCAAGGTTGATTTCGATGATGGCGACGACGGCAAAAAGAAAAAGGCCAAGACGCACACCAAGGTATATTTACCTGCAAAGACCCGTGTTAGCGAGCGCTAACACATTGTGTATAGATCACCGGTCGCAAGGAGAACGTTGAGGAGGCCAAGCGTCGCATCCTCGCTCAGGTTGAGAAGTTCGCGGACGAGGCGCAGGAGACGCTCAAGATTCCCGTCCAATACCACGCAGGTCTCATTGGCGAGAAGGGCAAGTACGTCATCCGTCTCGAGGAGAAGTACGGTGTCAAGATCACCTTCCCGCGCGAGTCTGGCGAGGCCGGCGAGGGCGGCCGTACCCGCGAGACGCTCAAGGCCGACGAGGTGCTCATCAAGGGTGGCCGCAAGGGTGTCTCGCACGCGAAGTCCGAGCTGCTCGATGCTGTCGAGTTCGAGAAGGAGAATAACAACGTCGCCAAGTTCACCATCCCGAGCAAGGCGATCCCGCGCATCCTCGGCAAGTCGGGCGCGACGATCAACGAGATCAAGGACGAGTCTGGCGCTATCATCGACCTGGACAAGAGCGAAGAGGCGTCCGGCACTGCGGGCATTACTCTTCGTGGTTCAAAGACGGCGATTGCGACGGCGAAAAAGGCTATCTTGGCCATTGCTGAGCAGGCGGCGGATGAGATCACGGTTACTCTGAACATCGAAGCGCGCTTCCACCGCTCGCTCATCGGCCCCGGCGGTTCGGGTCTGAAGGAGCTCATCACGCGCTGCGGTGGGCCGTCGGAGCCCAGGGCGCAGGCTGGTCTTGTACGCTTCCCGCGTCAGGGTGAAGAGCCGAACGACGAGGTTCGCCTCCGCGGTGACAAGAAGGTTGTCGAGAAGCTCCGCACAGAGATGGAGAAGATCGTGGGCGAGCTCAAGGACCGCGTCACCCTCGGTGTTGCAATCCCGGCCTCGGCGCACCGCGCGCTCATCGGCCGTGGCGGTCGCAACCTGACCGACTTCCAGGCCAAGCACGGCGTGCAGGTTCAGTACCCCGGCTCTCACGCATACAACTCTGCGGGCACGCCGGAGAACGCGGACGAGCTTGCGGATGTGCCGCGTGAGGATCTTGTCAAGATCTCTGGCTCGCGCGCGAACATCGAGGCGGCTATTGAGGACCTGAAGGCTACCGCGAAATCCGCTGCTCCCGAGGGCGTCACGGACACCGTCACCGTCCAGCTCAAGTACCACCACGCTATCACTCAGCAGGGCAACCTCTTCCGCACCCTGCGTACGTTCGGTGTCCACACGGACGAGTCTGCGCGGCCGTCCAAGTCTGCTGTACCGCCTCGTCCTTCAAACGGCAGCGCTGCACCCGCTGCGCGCATCGACGACACGGAGGAGGCAGCACCGGGCATACAGTGGGAGACGGCGGAGAATTATGCCGACGCTGAGGATGGCGAGGCAACGTGGACCCTCAAGGCGCGCGACGAGGCCGGACTGGAGCGCGCGAAGAAGTTGATCGCGGAGGCGCAGGCCAAGGCGGAGCGTATGAGCCACGTCGGCTTCCTCACTCTGCCCGACCGCACGAGCTTCCCGCGTATCGTCGGCTCCAAGGGCGCGAATATCGCGCGCATGCACGGCGAGACGGGCGCGGACATCACTGTTGGCCGCGATGATAACACGATTGTTATTATGGGTACTGAGACGGCTATTGAGGAGGCTAAGGATGCTATCTTGCGCATTGTGAATGATGCGTCGACGGGTGCGCCGAGGGGCGAGCGTCGTGGTGGAAGGGGACGGGGACGTGGTGTTGACCGCGACCGCGAGTATTGAGCGGTGTATGCTGAGATAGGGAGAGGGATCTAGCCGTTGTTGTTGTTTGTGATTTACCAGAGGTGTGGTATACACGGGTCCATATCCCAGGAGGAAGGCTGCTTCAGCACAAAAATATATCGTACAGCTCATGTGGAATATCATAGGATGGACTCGCTGACTCGAAGGAGAATAATATGTTGTTGTGGATTCTACGTTGCCAAAACAGTCTTTTTGTCCATGTTAGTGCGCGCGGTATACAGGACGTGAATCTAATCGTGCTCGGAATTGATCAGACCCTCAGCCATGTTGCATGGATGTCGGGAAGGCTTGATCACTACGTGGGAGCAACGTGGGACTTAGCGTCTGCTCCAGTTGTCGAAACCACTCTTCTACATTTTCAGTTCTTACGTCGAGTAACTGGAGACGAATGGGACTGATCTTAGTAGTTGACAAGGATTGATTCAGAAAGGCGGAATGGTTGTCGAAACTAATAAAAGTACATATAAGCGCGACGTGGAGTGATAACACCGATAGATCTTGTACTTACACGCGGGACAGTGCGCCTATACGATTAGTGAAGCGGTTGCCCTCTCTTTACAAGGCTGACCGGTCCGTGCATAGAAAGGGCATGTGTAATCGCCAGCCGAAGCTATGATCTGTTTGCGCAGTCTTTTCGCTTGTTTTTTCAAGATCAAGTACCTAGTTCTTGCCGCTCGGTCCAACTGTTCTTGATTGAAGCCAGGAAATGGTTGGCGGGACGGCGTCAACTCAATAGAACAGTCTTGTCTGAACACCATCCCCTCTGTCGAGTCTAAATAAGTCAAGGCACAACAGAAAGGTTTGTCCAAACTCACCAGGTTCCTCCGCAGGATCGGGTTTAGGTAAACCATCGACCATGTGTGCATTGAAATCGGGTGCTGAGCGCTTGTTGGCACGTATGACCTCGCTATCTGTGGCAGGAACCTCTTCACGACGCTTGCCGACGGTTCGGCCGTCAATGCTAGCCCGGGAGCCGTTCAGAAGACTGGTTTCTGATGTGTGAATGAGAGTGGAAAATACATCTTTTGCAACCGGTGGCACAGGGCAAGTGTTTGACATGGCCTCACGCATCGCTATCGTACACATTATTATTACCGTGTTCTATCACGGAGACTAGGCTGTGCGTTACTTACGAAGCGCAAGCCACCATTGATCATCACCCAAGTCCTGGTAAAACTCTTCCTTCGGAGGCATATCAAATGCTCTGATCTCCTCGACAAAGCATTTGACATCGAGTACGGTATCAGGGCCCGCGGGCTGTTTGCAGCGGGCGACCATCTGAGTGAGTGCGAGTATGAAAGACGAGCGCGGAAGATTCCGCTCCCGGCGCATGGTACGAGCTTTCCACTACATAAGTCAGTGTCAGTATGCATTTAAATTCAATCGAATTCCAGTTGCGCACAATCTCTACAACGAAATCCTTCGCGTACGCTACTTGCAAGGACTCGGGTGCTCTCTTCAACGCGCGTAGAGCAGCACTTACTCGTGCGACGGCACGAGTGTAGTTATCCATAGCAGCCTAAGACCAATATGATAGCTATATGGAGCACAGCAGGAGACTTCGAGTATGTCAAGCCGCGGTGGTTGCGAGAGGGAAAGACGCGAACGGCAAGGGTCAGAACCACGGTTGGGCCACATACGCGACCCGTTACGCGTTATGTCACGCAACACACCGGGAACACGCCGGCCGCGTCACCGCGCCTGCAACGAGCTCTCTCGACCACCACATGCAACGTTTCCTTCTTCTACCGTCTCTTGACAATCAGCTATAATGAGTTACATGCTCATGATGTCGATATCACGCTGGATATCGATGAGCCCGCTTAGGCCTCTCTGCACCCTCGAAGCACAGCATCCGCTGAATGCATCCCGCATCTGTGCACTATTGCGTCACAGGAAGTGGTAGCCGCAGAGCTGAATCTCTTGTACGAAGCAAGAGCGTATCGAGGACTACAGTAGTCGGCCCAGCCTCTCATGCTCCAAAAATGCACGTGATAGTGACGGAAACGAATTAGACCTGAGATTATGGACAACTAAACTACAGTACAGACAACAAAGAAAGGATAGGCATAAAGAGTGTGAGACCAGTGTCCACAGAAGCACGAAAGGACGGTAGGACAGGTGACCGGGGAGGAAAGGAGCGGTGATATCGTCGTGGAGATGAGGGAAGGAGTGGGGGAGCTATAGACAACGAGGGTTATGGGTAATGGGATTGAGGGATATCGATAAGGGTTCGCAGGGTGGCGCGCGCATGAGAGTTCGTGACTAGGATGAGTGTGGGTAGCGCGCGCGTAGTCTGTCGTAGTAGAGATGCGGGGTCCGAACAGCGGAAAGCACGTCCTTCAAGCCGAAGAGCTGGGATCAGAGGAGGGAAACGGCACGGGCGCAGAATCATCCACAGGTGCAGGCATAGCGTCCTCAGGGTTCTTCACGATAGTCACCTCAGCCGCCTTGCCTTTGCCCTTGATGTCCTTCTTTGACTTCTTGGGGCTGAGGAACGGACTATCCGCGCCCGGGATCCTTTTGAAGAGGCGCTGCTTCTTGGGAGTGTTGGGGGTGGCAAGAGCATCTGCGCTCATCTCGAGCGGGTCAGGGTACTCGATGTACTCTCCGTCACCCTCTTCCATGATATCCGCTTCGGGACGAGGTTCATGCGACGAGCCGTTACGCGGCACGCGCATGCGCGTGAGGCGACGCACCATGGGTTTCCAGCCGCGCTAAGAAGAGCGTCAATCACTGCGGGAATAGAACCGGCATCCTACTCACAGCGCGCAGGATATCCTCTTCCTTTTCCGTGTCGCTCGGGGGCGGAGACGGTGGCACGTTGGCTTGTGAAGTAGAGTCGGAGTTTGCAGCGGCATCGGCGCCACTGTCCTTAGGAGGAGGAACCGGGGGAGTGCCTGCCGCGTTTCCTCCCTTGAAGAGGCCGAAGAAGTAACCACTGCCGTTGGCAGCCGTGGAGGGAGTCTCGTTGTGCGCTGCGGGACTTGCGGTCTTAGAAGTACAATGTCAGCGAAGCACAGGAGATAACGTCGATGTGAACTGACTTCCTCGCCAGGCTGCCCGTCATCCGCAGGAGTCTGGGCGCCAGATGGCGTCGTAGACGACGCACCAACGCCACTGCGCGTATTGAGTGCGCGGGTCTTAAGCCACTCGCGAGCGCGATCGGCCTTGAAAGTGCCGCCGTTGCCTTCGTTGGCCCGGGCTTCCTCGGGCTCGTCACGAACATCAAGAGTGGTCACAATCCCCTCGTTCATGCGCTCAGTGAAAAAGTTGCGCACGAGCACGCAGTAGAGGGAGTCGTCGTTGTCCCAACGGCGGACGAGGTTGTACGTGCCTGAGCCGGCAGGGTTCTCGACGAAGATGCGAAGGCGACCCGTGCGCAACTTAAGAGTGTTGAGCTCGAGGACAGACTCGAGCGTGCCATAGTCCATCTTGGCGACTTCATCAGGTGGCAGAGTAAAATTGCGCGACCACCCACGGCGGCTGGTTTCAAGGATTAGCAGGGACGAGACCCTTGAGGTCAGGATGAACGCACATCGCGACTACGTTCAGGTTTCCTTCGGTATGGCCTTCAGGCATGTCGTGAGGGATCGTGTCAGACAGAAAACCAGCGAGAACGCAGTCAAAGGAGAAGGAAAGTGTGGGCAATCATGATCTGCAAAGCGCTGGAGTATATAAGATCACTTTCACGGGCAAGCTTCAGAAGCGCCGAGTGGTCTCCATGGCATCCGAAGGATCTTAAGGCCGAGCGCCGGTCTGTCCCTGCGGCATCGAGCTACAGAGGCTTCCCAGAAAAGTTAGAGTTACCAGAGGGTTGATCCCGGTATCCGCAAGAATCGTCCGCGTCCGCATGCGCTGATGTGGAGTGGTTATCCGTTGTCAAGGCCATCTGCGAACATGAAGAAGCGGCCTGAGAGTGTTTTCATACTGATCGTTGAGAGGGTATCGTGTTGGGATGATTGCATACTACATCCAGATGAGGACGAGCCTACGACGGCCTCCTTGTGGTTGAGAGGAAAGCGCGAGGCGGCGACAGGCGGCAACCCGACGTCCGGCCTAATCGTCCCGGCGGCAGGCCCTGGCCATACCGCCGCTCGCCGCCCTGGCTTCGACCACCATGATACGCTTGAATGAGATTGATAACATTCTAGAGTTCCCCGCACTCATTGTCATTTCCAGGCTTCGGACTCACGATTCCCCTTCTCTTTCCCTCTCTCCCGTACTCGTCATGGGAGGCCACCTATACGCGATCTACTCACAGCCAAGAGCTTCTACAGTGCCACTCCAGTCTCTCGGCGTGCCCTCGCAGCAGAACAATATACAAAATGACCCTACCAAACCTCGTGTCTTGTATTGTTGCCACTACTCTCTTTGTTCTCTATTGTATCGCCTGCAGGGGTTGAGGATGCCTCGAGGCATCCAACCACTCTTCTGCGAGCCACCGCATGCATCCGATATATAAGCCTCCGCCCGCTCAATCGCTTTCCTCAGCGGGCTACGCTGCCACATCCTCAGGACCGGGATGTGGAAGAGACGCTCATCCGGGTGAGGCGACACCCGGAGGCGCCATCGTGTTGCCAGACGCGATGGCGCTCCGGCTCGAGCTGCTGGCACAGTTCGAGTCCTTGCCCCGGGGATGGCATGGCGTGCGGCGTGCGCCATGCATATTCGCCCCGCGAGAACTCGGAGCCCTAGCGTCCTCCCTTTGGGTTGAGGGCGTCCGAGAACCCACTTTGTCGCGTTGCGGCGACGCGCATGGCGACCCTGGCCAGGTTGTAGTGCGCGTTGCGTCTGCCCGCGAGGTCTGGGGTGAGTGACGGTGGTCTAGCGGCCTGCTGCGAGCGACGCGCGTATGCGGTCATTTGCCGGGCTTGCTGGACTGACTGTTGCGCGGGCACGACCTGGCGGATCGATGATACCGATGTAAGAGAAACGGCGTGGAGATACACTGGGTCGAGCTGGCCTCAAGCTCCTGATGATGGCCCCGTGGCGGGGGCCGAAACCCAGTGTTCTGCGAATACTCACATACATAAGCGACTTCTAAGTATATCGCTACAGAAGGATGACGATGGCGGTAGGGGTACTGAACAATCGCTCCTGTGGCACGCTAATACCGGCGCAATATGCCTCAGCGACAAGAGTTCCGCGTAATAATATTGCAAATGTGAATGTCCAGATAGTGATAATGTACAATTATATGTTAACAACGGTTAAAGCATCCTTCCGATGATTACAACTCTGCGTGCGGTCCATCCTCCTTGCCTGACAATCTAAACAAGGAGCCCACTGTCTGAGTGATCGCCTCGATGAAGCCGAATAGCAATGCAACACAATTGCGAGTTCCCTCTCTACAGAACTCCTTGACGCGACCAACAAAGTACGCTGGCGGCACGTAGGTGCCATTCGACGGAATTGGTGGCCGGAGAGCGTTCTCAGCGTCGCGCTTCAAGGACGCGGATTCGGACTCAGACGTCTCGCGCCACATCTTGCGGAAGAGTTCTGTCGCATGAAGCGACTCGGAGAAGCGATGGAGTGTGTTGAGGAGAGCAACAACTTCCGTCCGGGAGAGTAGGTTGGCATTGAGGCGCGGGCTATGAGCGCATTAGCATCATATAGTGAGGGAGCAGCCTGCTGACGTACTCTAGCGCCTTCTCGTCCATCTCAAAGAGGATCTTGAGAGCAGTCGCGACACCAGTGGTCTGCACCTTGCCCCACAGCCGGCACTTGTCGCATCCGACACAGTCCATGATACGCGTGACGTTGCGGAAGTGCTGCTTGAACTCTTCCTTGAGAACCGCGGCATTTGCACCGGCGAATAACACCGTCTCGTCAAACTTGCCCGCAATCTTCGCGAGATCGACCACTCGTTGAACGGAGTCGAGAGTCAGGGTGTGCTCGTCATGTGTTGCTGACGCACAATAGTCGTACGCGTTCAGGTATGGGCCGAGGCGTGCGACGGCGCGGAGAAGGAGGACAGTGTTGAAGTAGATGTACTGTAGACGCTCTGGGTGCGAGGCTACGCGATTGACGAAGCACTGGAGGTCAGGCCCCTATATGCGCGTTAGATCCCTTCTTTCGGTTCAACTGATATAGCAGCGACTTACCCATTCACCCGTACGCTGGTTGAAGTTCTCCAGACATATGTGGGTGGAAATAGAGGCATGCAGGCCGGAAATGATCTTATAATACGCCCGCTTCTCAACGCATTGCTCGCCTTCTGATCCGGCGCTATCAGGATGCAAGGGCTCTGTGAGGGTATCCGGCATCGTCATTGCAGCCTTCGACGGCTCGTTCATCAAGTTAAGCTCCGAGTCGCCGAAACAGTTCTCCTGGTAAATGGCCTCCCATATCCTCTTGGTCGAGATACCCGCATATCCAGTAAATCGTTCAGGGTTGAGAGCGAGATCAACGTAATCTCCCTCTAGAAAGCGCATAAGTAGAAGTCAACTTGGCGTGTATGGTAGACATACCAGTGTCATCGTCCAAAAAGCAGAAGTCAGAGTCGCGATAGTAGCACCCAGGTAGGGTTGTGCGCTGCGGAATATGTCAATAGAGAGTCGATGTCGAGTTATGGGCACTGACGTTTTCTTGGCTCTTCGCGTCGAGCTTACTCAACGCCTTCGCCCTCCATGGTTCAGGAATATCGCTCTATGAGACCGTTAGGTTCCTGTTTGCATCCATCGTATAAGTAATACTCACCTCTTCGACCGTGATAATTCTACAACTCTCGTTGATACAGAGAGAGTCCTCGTCCCAAAATGGACAATCTCGGTACAAGTCTACCTGTTCAAAAGTCAGTATACTGCAGACTGCATTGTGTAGAGCAACACTCACCCGGAAGTAGCGGAAGAACGGCGTCTCTACAAGTGCGTGCAACTGTTCGTACAACTCGGGATTCACACTCTCCATCGTTTCGTAGTCGCACATCGTCATTTCTATGGGTCCCGTCGGCTGCAGAGGCTCCGGTCAGTGCGCGTCCACGCGCGCTAACGCCAATAGGTACGTACAGATGGCTCGCATGACGGCACGCTCGCAGGTGTGTGGTCAAGCACGGTCTGCAGTGGATCTTTGCGCACGAGCGCATCGCCTAGAAAGCTACGCGCATTGTTGTCGAGACTCGAAGCTGATGCATAAGCAGCGGCCCAGTCGAGCACAAGCGCGAGAACAATGTTCGGTCGCATCTAGCAACTGAGAAACCCGCAGGATAACACCGAAGTAGCCCGGAGAAAAGTCAGACTCTAGCTATAGACGTAGCCCAGAAGTAGTGCGGCGGCGGGCACGAGAAGTAAGTGGCGGTTAACTCGAAGGAGGACCGACTTGAAATCCTGATTTCAAGCGCGCCTCCACGTTACGCGCACACGTGGACGCGCTCTCGATGGTGGCCTCGGTCGCACAGGTTTGACCGAGGCCGTGAGGCGCGCTCTCAGCGGGCTCGTTCCGGCCGTACACACCCATCGCCGGACGTGGCAAGTTGCACAGGGTCTACTGATGGAGTTCACAATGCACGGCGCAGTGGTCCTCGGGTCTACAGACAAAGTCGCGCGTCGCGTCAATTGAACGCGACCCCGTCACACGCGATCATTTTAACTGTCAAGATGCGCTCGGACATCTCGGATCTCTCCTCATCTGTCCAAGCAGCCAGCGAGTAGATTCCCAGACTGTCGACTGTCAAAGATGCACGTAGTACTGATACTACTGCTTGATATCAAGCGACCGGAAGTGAAAGTTCGGTTCCGATGCGCGATATGTATTCAATGTTGCGGTTCCATCTACTGTAACAGTGACATCTTAGAACGAGTATTTTGTGTAGACTTAGCAGGCGTAGTGACTAGAAGGTACTGTGCGCAAGATCGGCTCACGGGGTTCTGCCGGTTATAGTAATTCCTCACGCGACCGCACTTGCGCTAAGAAAGTGGCCCTCGCTCACCCTCTTGGGTGCGGACCGCCATCGACACTGAGAGAGACTCACGCCGCCTATACGAAGAACCAGCGCGATTTGGGCATACAAGCCTCTCATGTGCAGCGCCGCGCATATCCAGCCAAACCTGTGGTTGTGAGGCTGAGGGCACATCAGGCTTTGAGCGAAACAGACAGAAGCAGACAAAGAATGCGGTTCACAGTTAGTGGAGATTAGTTCGTAGACGATGTTGCAAGGCGCCATCGTTGGTTGAAGGCGTGCGCAAGGGTCTTGCACTGTCGCGGCCCATTGGCATTGCCGTAGGGTACATAGCACCGCTCGCGCATCACCATTGGCAAGGATGTGGATACAGCAACTGTTGTCAGTTTGAGATCCAGACGGTCATCGCTATAGGCATAGCCTAGAAATCTCCTTAGCATGTCAAAACCGACGTTTATTTGGGGGAGATAAGAGTAGTCTCTAGAGCTCGATCGTAATCGCCTCGTCGCACATCGACCTCGTAAGGCGGATATTGCTATAACGACTTACCAGGCGAGGTCGACTCAAGGTACTAGTAAAGTTGATCCAATCTGCGAGCTGAGAGCGCTCAGCTCAGCTTTCGAGTAGATCCAGTCCGGTCTCAGCACAAGGGTCGTATTCTTTCTAGCGTGACGGGCTGCGTTCATAGAGCCAGTTGACGACAATCGGATCAATTGGCAAAAAGGATGTAGCTCGGAAATACAAGCGGCAATTGAGCTCGATGACTTCGGTCACGAAGGGCGCAAACTCGGAAGACATTGTATAGAGGAAGAAATGGGGCATCGTAAAGCCGTCATGAGTGCGTGGACGAAGAACAGGAAGGTCGAGACGGAAAAGAAGAACAATGTGTAGCACGAGGCGCGCGATCGTCGGGCCGCGGGAACTAGCACCGAAATTGGTGCCTGCGTTGTCTCTCTTGCCTCTTACGCCCATCTCGCTCTCTACCTGTACACTCGCTCGCCCGTGCTTATTGCCGTACATCAGCTCTACTCTGGGCTCTGCCGCACGTTACTGCGTAACGCTGCACGACTCAGATAAACCCGGAAATATTGCCCATCATCCCGGTCGTCACTCCCGTCGCTTCGAGCTCTCGCGATGATCCTGAGGGAGCAGGAAGAGCAACAGCAGCCAAAACTCAGAGACGATCGCGCTCTTCTTCCCACACACAGACACAACGGCTCCAGCTCAAACCACGACCCAGAAGCCCAGCGTCCCACTTCGCCCTCGCCCACCGTACTTCCAGACTACGAGACTTCCCAGGCCCAGTTCTACGGAGGAGTACTTGCCACCGTCCGAAAGAGCACGAAATCGTTTGCGAGGACTCGCTGCTTTCGAATACTGTGGTGGGCGCTCATAGCCTATGCTGTCATCGTCGGTCTCGTCGGCGTCCCCATCCTGGCATGGGTCAGTGGCCGTGCCTGATTCTCCATCGCATCACCACCTCACACGTTGATAACAGAAACTGTCCGGGAAAGGAGGCCATGGAGGCGGAGACGATGGCGGCGGCAAGCCGTTGATACTCTCCATCCCCTTCCACTCAGCAACGCAAGTCGACATGGCTCTGCTTGCAGCAGAGAACGCGACTTTCGAGTGCAACAAGTGGGAGGACAAACACACCCTGACCACAGATCCCGACGACCCCTACCATTACATTGCCTCGTGAGTCTTACTCTTCAACCTTCTTCGTGCGCTCTTCCTGTCATGTCCCTGGGAAAGCAAGGATGATGGCTTCTTCCACTATTACTCTTTTTGGTGCAGTCGATGAATTCTGACGGCTCGCATTTTCTCTAGTCTCGCCTTCACATTTCCTCCTCTACCGGTCTTGCAATTATCCGCGGATGGCCACCTCAACTGGACGGATGCGCCAGGGCTATCAGGGCATATGACATTCGATGTTAACCCTGACGCCTCTCAGCGGGACCTCGTGCTTTCCGCGGATGTACGCTATTCCCGGCCAGATCTCTTTCACGCCCTCAGCATCTGCCACACGCAGACGGCCAATACATCGGTCATTACTCTCCGAGTGCGTGATCAATTCCGGCGCTCTTCTCTGACACAGCCATCTCATACTTACCTTTTACTTGCGTTCCGCAGCTGCCGTACAACCTGTGGAAAGAGGATGTTCTCGAGACAAATATGACGCTTCTCTTTCCGCAGCGCGAACAGCCCATCTCGATCTCGACTTTTGCGACTTGCTTCCCGACATTCGACCAGGTGTATGGCGCGCTCGATTCTGCAGTGCACTTCGATGAGGTTGTTATCGAGGGCTCTGGCGCACCGATCTCCTTCGACGTACGTTCGGTGGCTGTTGTCGAGAAAGATCCCCCGCTGAAAGCAGTGCTAGGGAATACATGCGCAGACACTCGTCGTCAGGACTTCTGGTTCAAGCGTCACAGGAAGGTTTAATGTTTCGCAGGTCCTGTCAGTTGACACGGTGAACGGGTGCGTCTTTCGGCATATCGGTCATGCAGGATGTTTTTCTCACATTCTCTCATAGTCCCATTGAGGCCGACATCTTCTTGCTCAACGACGATACCTGCAAAGCGCCTACCCACTGTTCATTGAATACGGGCAATGCGTACGTTCGATCGCAGTCCGCACACTTTGACCAAGTCTGACTGGTACTTTTTGCAGTCCAATTGTCGCCGACATTGTCCTTTCCGATCAATGTACCTCAACGCGCAAACATCACCCTCACTTCGAGATCCACCCCAATACCTTCAACGCAGGACTGAACATGTCTATCTCGCACGCGACGGGATCGCATCCAAGTCGCATGTTTTCGATGGCGAGGACAACGCAGGGCCCGATCTACTGCAGCCTCGACGCTCTCTTCACCGGGACATTCGACTTAGCGACGAAGGATGCGGCAGCGGACATATTGAGAATGCCTGCCGTCGCGCAGGACGCGATGAACATATCCAGCATTATCGCAAGATGGTTCACCGGCGGTTGGAACATGGTGCCCGATTACAGCGCGCCTGGGCGTATGCTTGGATGGGTTGGCTATGGCAAGCGGCCTGCCGGCGGGCATGGAGAGAGCCACATCTCTCTCGCCACAAGCCTAAGCCCGGTCAGGCTCTCGCTGGACGAGCCCGTTTCATGACACCAGCCCTTTGCGAAGGGTCGGCGCTGTTGTGTCGCTGAGGTTGGGGGGACGTTGACGGACTGAGAGGGTTGAACGTTGGACTGCCACGTCGACTGCGGTCGATGCACATCTCTGTACTATTACTGCACTAGCGCTTCATCTCTTTTGGATACGGACTTGGTCACACTGCACACTCACATTCACACTCATTGAGAATCTGCTATCGTTGTCATTCGGGCACTGGGCTGCTACCTTGCTACATATATTACCATCTTACCGCGGTTCAATGCTATGTATCGCTTACTGCTGCGTCTATCACTAGTTCTTCCTTGGGACATCGCATTTTGCGTGAGGTCTAGACTTTGTGTGGAGGTGAAGTGGGGATAATCAAGCTGTTACTGCGGCGCCGCCGTTGTCTAGACTCTGTGGGGAGACCTCCGCTCGTCGGGTTGCGCAGCAGGAGTACGGAAGGTGCCGCGAACGCGCCGTGCGTGACTTGCGCAATGCCGCCCGGAAGCAGCTCTTGTTTCGCGTCGACCATGACCTCGGCTATGCGCATGACGGTACAGCCATGAACTACTCCGCCGTCTCGGACGTTAGCGAGTCTATCTTTGGACCACCATCTGAGCTCATCGAGGTTGGTGCTCTACCGGATGCTTCTGCTGAATTAGAAGGCGCCTGGGCGCAGCTGGATGCTGTTCTCGAAGGGATTGAACGCGAGAAGCTTGAACAGATCGAAGCCGAGTGCAGGTGTGACGCTCACTCCTACTACTATAGTTATCGTAGGCTAACATTTCGTAGTGTAGATGACTTCAAGAAGGGCATGGAGGAAGCGGCTCACGATCCTCGGCGATTCGTCTTAGCTTTGGGCCCGCATGAGCGCACCCTGCGTGCCCTTGAGGATACGAAGATGCGGGCCAGAAGCCGGAAGAAAGGCCGCGAGTTGAAGGAGAATGCCGACCTTACATCCGAGACGCGCGCATTTAAGGATAAGCTCGATGGTGTGGCGCTGAAGTGCTGGCCGTAAGTCCGAGATGCGCCATGTGCGGTGCGAATAACGGCTTTCTGACTGTTGCGCGCAGGATACCTGATGGAGCTGCATTGTTCATCCGTGGAGGTATGAACAAGGACAGGAATGCGATTCGCAAGATTGTATGTCCATAGTTGCTTCTACACTCATATCACATACTGACTGTCGGGCAGAAATCTACACGTAACGGTACTTTACCCAAAGCCGGAGACGTCGTGATTACGGCCAGCATCTACGCGCGCGGCAAATACACTTGGCATACCGTATCGCGTCTTTCGCAACACATACTGCTAGGACGCCAGACGTTGGGGAACTTGTATGACATCATCCCGTGTGCGACTAACGAGTTGCCTGCTGAGACGGGCACGCCAGACGGATATGACGCGGACAAGCGCGCGGAGTCTCTCGGTGCAGTCATGGTCATCGAAGGCGTCGCATACGGAGATGGGCTGAGCGAATGCGACTACTCAGAGTGCGTTCACGATCTGAGATAACAGTTGGGTTTCATACTCAATGGTGCTCTACAGCAAGCTCATCGATAAGTTGTCGGATCCGCCGCAGAAAGGTGAAGCGATGCATCAGACTCGGCTCGATAGTCTAGCTATACGCCTGAACGAGCCTTATTGGATGCTGCACGAAGGTGCTTGCGAACACTTCATCGTCTTCGACCAGATCAGGTTCGTGTCTTTCTGTTCACCCCTCCAGCAACTCCAAACTGATGCGTCCTCAGGTTCTGGCAGCCACATTCCACCGATGTGCCAGACACCGCTGGCTATCCGCTGACGACGCATATGGCTCCCGTAGGCCTTTCGCTGTGTATCGCATGCGGTAAAGTTCCAGCGCTCTATGCTGTGCTGGGAGATCTGCGTTTGGGGCAGAGTCCGGCGCATATGTGTGGTCCCTGCTGGCGGATGATGGGGCCCGAGTACGCTGCACCCGACGTCAGGATTGTGCCTCTGCCTAAGCACGAACATGGTTGGGTCCTGGATGCCACTGGGGAAGAGGAGGAGGAAGAGTGAAGGCACTCTGGCTGTCCGGGCTGTATATTGACGTTATCGTAGTCCTACTGCTTGCGAGGAATGAATACTTCAAAATATTGCTGAACGCGATCACCTGACCATGTTCAAACGCGGTTTGCGCGTTTGACGAACCTTTCTGGGCGCATGTTTCTTGAGATCGCTTCCATTCCCCATTGTCAGAACGTTCTTTGAGAATCCAATGCCACTGTGTCGATACAACGTGCGCCGTTAGATGGGTGCAGATGTCAACGGCCGGGTGGCACGTTGCGTCTGCTCGAAATTCAACTTCAACCATCTTGAACTCGAACCACCACGACCATCACCACCTATACCCAACCCAGATACCCCATCATGCCTGAGACTCGTAGTCAATCTAAGGTCTGCCTCCGCGATAGATACAATAAACAGTGGCTGATCTCGTCAATAGGCTGCCTCGACTGATGTCGACGCGCTCGCCGCCCAGACCAAGGATCTCTCCGTCTCCGATGCCACGCCCAAGAAGCCCACTGGCACCACCGCCGATCTTATTGCGGGAGAGTTTGACGATGACGATGAGGAAGATGGCGACTTCAACCCTGAGGCTGAGGAAGCCGACGACGACGATGAGGAAGAGGAGGATGACGAGGAGGTGGAAGAGGAAGTCGAGGACGAAGAAGAGGAAGACGAACTGGTCAGCGGCGACGAGGAGATCGTCAAGCAGGTGAACGCCGCAAAGTCCCCGCGTGCCACCGGATCCAGCACTGCGCTGCCCAAGAAGGGTACGATCGGAGATCTCGCCGACGATGAAGATGACGAGGATGACGCTGACTTTGATCCCGATGCGCAAGACGAGGAGGATGACGAGGAAGACGAGGAAAGTAGCGAGGAGGAAGAGGAGGAAGACGCAGAGGAGGAGGAGGAGGAGCTCGTCAGCGGCGATGAAGAAATTGTCAAGCAGGCTAAGCGGTCGTAGTAAGTCGTTGTTCGAATTCCGCGGTTCAATGTACACCAGACGTGTTGTTTTGCGCATATGAAATGCGATGGCTACTATTTCTCTGCTACATAAGGACAATTCGGAGATGCGATCGACTGGAGTACGAAAGACTATCGGTCCGAAAGACGAGTATTCTGCGAGTGAGTGGTACAACGATGTTAACAAGAACGTATGCGACGGAGTATTCTGCGGAAGTTATACGACACGGTGAGTGGTTACGAGTGGATATTCCGAGCGGCGTTGCGAATGTAAAGAAGGGCTGTTCAAAACGGACTGCGCGATATGATGAAAACAACGGGATGCAGAATGGGTTGGCTTTTGCGATGGCAGCGACAAGAAAACGGGCGACAGAGATGCGATGGCTATACTATCGAGGATAAAGGTTCGTGAGCTCGTACATGTATCAAATGGGGTGTCAAAGCTTATTGTGACATTAGTACTGGTGTGGGCATCTAACCGCGCCCAGTGGTGGCCGTCCCAGCCGGCTTGCGCTGCGAGCGGCCATGGCCACCGGCACCGCTCTCCCGACTGGAAGAACCTGATCCGCGCGTACTTTCGCGGGTTGTCCTCTTGCGAGCTGCGCTGTGATCATTCTCGGTCTCGCGATCATCAACGATTCGCGAGCGCGAGGACGAGGAGGAAGGCGGTTGTGAGCGTCCGCTGCCAGTCGAGCTAGGCTGCGTGCGCATCGTGCTCGGCGTTCCAACGCGAGGTCCAAGCGGGGCACGAATCGGCTTGCTCTTCATATCGAGAGAAGCCTCGCGTGGAGCCGGGAGGCGAACCTTGGCCCGCTCGATATCGTTTCCAGGGGCCGGCGCGCGAGGCTGGCGCTCGCTGCTGTCGAAACCGATAGAGGAACGCTCAACAGCCTGACCACGTGAGAAACGTCCGCCATCGAATCCGCGCGACGAGCGCTCATCAGGACCGCGGGGAGCACGCTCAATCTCGACAGGACGCGGCGGTCGGTCAACGTAATCATATGCGAGAATGCGGCCACCAGGTGCGCGGTCGCTACGATGCGTCCACTGGCGCTTGTCAGACTCGAGGCCGAGACCATGGATAGCGGGTGGCGGTGATGATGAGCGACCGCGTATGGTCGCAGACGAGTCGGACTCTTCCGGCACGGAAGATAAACGGCGCTGGATCAGGCGTGCAAGAGGGATCGACCGCGGCTGATAACCGCGAGCGCCAGGCTGGATGTCTGGAGAAGTGGGGGATGCAAGCCCATATCCCGCTGCGCTCATTTGGGAAGACGAGGAAAGGCGACGCTCGCGCTCAGCCGCTGATGTCATCGACGAAGCCGACTGTCCAGAGAGCGTGCGCGTCTTAGGCGCAGGCATCTGCGCGAGCACATTTGCGGCCTGAAGCTGCTCATTGCGCGCGAGGAAGGCCAGGAGATCTTGCGGATTCGAGAGCTGAGAGTAGTCGACTTGCGCCGTTGGGCGGCCGCCGGCCTGAAGCGAGCTGATCTGCGCTGCGGGTTCAAGAACGCTGTGAGAGTTCATGTCCTCAAGTCGCTCGTGAACAAGCCGACGAAGTTGCTCCGACTGCTCAAGGACACGCAGCTGGGTCTGATGATGTTGGATGGCCTGTGCTAGTGCCTGGGCTTCGGATAACGACGGCGAAGGAAGTGATTCAGGATACGGTGAGAAGTTCGACGACCAAAGCGGAGAGGTTGTGCTGGGAGGCGTGGGAAGATAACTGGAAGGCTTGATGTTGCGCAGTGCTTGGTGCTCGAGTTGACGTTGATACTGCTGGGCGAGCTCGATGGCGGTGGGCCGATTATGCGCGACGAAGTTCTCAGGCGAACGAGGCTCTATGACAATCTGCGGCAGTGCAGATCCCGGAGCTGGGCGAGCGGAGACCTTCATCGCGCCGACGGTTGTAGATAGAGGGAAGTCGTGGGCCTTCACCGTACGCGGGAGGTTGGTATATGCGTCCACTTCGCCTTGGTTCTGGCTTTGCACATTGGGCTGACGAGGAGCACCGCGTGACTCTTGGCGCTGGTGGCTGTCTTCCGGGATGGGCTGCTGGTGGAACGTGTGCGGAGGTACGCGCTTGAAACCAGAAGACTCGTGGTTCGCGATGTTGCCCATCGATGCGAAGCCCTGGCGTGTCTGAGGTGCTGCCTGCACCACGGGGAGGGGAATAACCGGCGCATGAGTATCGATACCACGAGCAGGGCGGACGGTCTTGCGAACGATAGGAGAAGAATGAGCGGCGGGAGGTGCAGAAATCTTGACGGGCGCAGAGACGGCTTGCTTGAACATCTCAGGCGCGAGGGCGGGCGAGGCTACCGAGGACGGTGGCTGAGGGCTTGTAGTCTGTTCTTCGAACTTTGTAGCCTGGCTCTCTGAGTCGAGTCCCCATATCATACGCGGCAGGTTCTCGGGCTCATCGATGATGGTACCTTCTGCGCCACTAGAGCCAAGGGTGATTAGTGTCGAGCATCAATTTCAATCTGCCAATATTCAACGTACGAGGGGCAACGCGCATACGGCAGAGAAAGTGGGCCATGCAAAGCAGGGATGGGACGAGGCGGCGAGCGCGTCCAAGAGATCCAGCCTGGAGTACGTTGACCTCAGTATACAGGTATGATCAGACGTGTTGGACACATACCCTGATCATCGATGGACATCTTTTCCTGCTCTTCTACCTCTTCCTTGATGGTCGCCTGGCGTAGAAAGCCTTCCGCGAGGCCGTCGTTGTGTTCGATGATGATGACAGAGTCTACGAGAACGGGCGACGGCGCATAAGGTGCTGCACGACGCAGAGAGCGGATGAACGTACCACTTGTATCCGACTCGCTAATGGAGGCGAGTGAGGTTCCGGTATATAGAGATGAAGAATTGCCGCTGGCGCCCTCCGAAGACATGCTGAGGTCGCCCAGATTGTCGGCGGCGGGATTGCCCGGCTGCGAGGGCATAGATACGATGCGAGCACCCTGCTTGAGCTCCCGCTTGACTTGGAAGACGGGCGTGGTCTCAGGCATAGAGACAGTACGGCCGGGATCAGCGCTGACACTAGTGGGGCGGGCCGGTTCGAGGCGGGGCTTCGCGAGGCGATGGGGCTGCACCGTTGCGGGACGCGGCGAGCTCTGGGTATATGCGCCCGATGACGGCGAACCGAGGTCAGAAAAGAGAAGAGAAGAGTTGGCGGGATCGTCAAAAGACATTTCGAGTCGGCGAGGAGACGAGCTAGATACGGAAATTACACGTGGAGAAGGAACATCAGTTTGCACAGCGCATTCAGAGTAGGATTTCGCAGAAGGAGAGACGTTGGCGGCGGATACTTCGGTGGACATCTTGAGAACACGGCGGGCTGGCGGGGCGACCACTGTTGCTTGGCGGGCTGATGGGGCTGGTGGTAGTTGCAGACGAACCCAGGACGGATGCCAGCTGGGGGCACCCGCCTCTTTGCAGCGTCTGGTCGCGGGCGTCTGTCACTTCGCCGGCTGCGAGCGCGAGGCAATAGGCGCCACACCTCGGCAATCGCCACGCGCGGCGCGTGGCACGCGTCGCTTCGCGAGCAACTTGTGTACCGTCACCCGTCCTCCACATGCATGTACTACTATATGCTATCCTGTTTTTGAGCCTTCACTGCATCGTCAATCTTTTGCTTCTGCAGTCGGTGAACGTGTCAGCTGTGCAAGCACCCATACTTGTCGCTTAGCAGGGCTACGCGCGCGTCTCACAAGGGAGTACCGCGGTGTCTAATTGGGATACTGGTCGATCTCGGATGTCATGGCGGAGAAAGTTATCACCAGTTCTCAAGGGCGTTGTATGAGATCAGAGTGCCCAGCGCGAGCGTTGTCGCATTCATCTGATTGCGGTCCTAGTTGAATGCTGTACTTCAAGTCAGCAACCCTTGCATTTGATGCAACATCGTGATATATGCGCACCAATTCTCAAGCTCACTGATAGAACACAATTATATGATCGAGTTCTTGAGATCTATGCACAGTTAAGTCCATCCTTCCATTGCCGACGGGAAAGTCAGCGCGTGACCTCGACGTCGAACGAGATGCCCGCTGGCTACGGTATGTTGCAGGAGACACTGTTACAATGAGTCAAGGGTTCCTGGCGTAAGATAAGCTTTACGAAGGAAATCGTATGATGAGTTCCCAGCTACAAGTCAAGGCGATATGCCGACTGTGCACGCAGTATGGGCAAGCATGATGCCACCGGCGCTGTCGGAATGTCACCAGATATGACGCGCACATCGAGAGCGAGGTTCGGCTCGTGACAAACCGTACAAGCTTATCCCCGACGCCGGGGCTGGGGCTCTAAGCTCGATAATGCGATGCATGTTCTCGCTACGCCCTCTGGCGTTGTTGGCCTGCAAGCCCATTGGATAAGTCAGATCGCAAGCCAACGTCGACGACAGCTCACTACTACTCACAACAGATACTAGTCTCAAGGCTTGAGGCTTGCAGGGCGTGTATCCGGCCCGCATGTATCATGGAAGCCGCGCCGAGCGTGAAGGCGATGACAAAGAGCGTGAGCATGATAGCGCATGCACTCCTAGCCCTGAGGTAGAGCTACAGTGCAGGTGGGTCGGTCTCGGTAGGCGCGCCTCGCTGACGCAGAAACATCTGGTAAAGAACGATGAAGGGTCGGAGAACGCCCGGGGTCAGCCGATGTTTCGCCACATCATATCTGCGCAAACAGATCTCTGAATAGCCGCAGTCGATAATTTTGGAAGAGCACGCCTCAATCCGCATGTTGAGTACGGGTATCAAGTCAGAGGTTCCCGAGGCTGCGGTCTGCGGTGAACCTTTAGACATCTCATTGTCCGCCCGCGCATGTGTTGACCTCAGAGCGAGTTCCATGTAGCATTTTCTATGCTTTCGGTCTGTAACGATGATCACAAGCCGAAGCGTTATTCCAGAGTAACACGGACATCCCTTCCCCGTGAATTCCATTGGCGAATCAGCAGCGCTTCCTGAAGCAGCGACTGACCGTTCTTCTCGACATGAGGCGGAAGATGACGGCCAAGTTCGCAGACGGAGAAGTTACTCCGATGGGGAAGGCCAACGGGATAGCCGTACCACTTCGTAGGTGGTGGATTGAGTGAAGTCGTGATCACAAGCGAGGTCGTATATCGCGTCCGCGGCACTTGCCGAAGAAAATGCCGTCGGACCCGAGGGTGCCCGAGGGGCCGAGTGGATGTCTCTTCCGACCACCATGACTGCAAGCTCGAGCCCGTGTGGGCATTTTGGCTGCGTGGCATCAGATACAACATTCAACTTCCCTGCCATTCGTTCATCATACCGCTTTCTAGATGTCAATGTCTAGTGTCCGAAGACTCCGCCTTCATGTTCACGTCACGAGTTATAATTATATTCGACTTTTGTGTATTGGCTGGACCGATCCCACCTTATGCCCATGCATGACGGGGAGATGAGTATCATATGATACGGCGTCTTTTTTCCGGAGCAGGTCAGGTGCAGCTCGTTACTTAGCAGAAAAACTCGACGACTTCCTGCGGCACATGGGAGGCCTTGCATTCACAACATCTCGCTACCTAGTGAAGTACCAACCAATTGCTCTACGCCTTATCGACATCGCAATGGCTCTCAACTGACATAACGCCAGTCAAATCGACTATAGTCTTACAGGAAACTCCGTAATAGGGATCCCGCCATTGGTGCGTCGACCGCAATCATCGACGCAGAAGTAACCACGGCGATACCGCCGCGGCAGAGGATCCGCGCTGGTCAAAGCTCTGCGACGTTTTCTTCGACTTGGGACGCTAGCACTAGTACGTAGTCTGTCGCATCTCCGGTGGTGGCTGGTCGTTGCGTTGTTGGGAACGTGGGCCTTGGCATTCGGACATACGAGTGCCAGATGTACTTATTGACTGACGATGTTTACAGCAAACGCTACGCACACGTATCGGAGTTCTGTCCATCTCCGACTCTGATCACGCATGGGACTCTACGACCAGCTGCAGGCCGTCCTAACCGGCACGTCTCTACTAAGCACCTTCCTCACCGCCGGACCTACAGTCGATCTGGGATACGCAACGTATGCGGCAACGAATGCCAGTCTTACGCCTGGAGTCACTAGCTTCCTCGGTATCCGCTACGCTGCGCCGCCTACCGGCGAGCTACGTTTTAGCGCGCCGCAAGCACCAAGTACGGTTTCAACCGGTGTCCAGGAGAGCCTTATGCCGCCAACTTGTTGGGGAGGTGTTGCCTTCGGGATGTCTACGGAACCGACGTATCACGCAGCTGGAGGAAAGGCCGTAGACGTGCCTCCTATAGGCGAGCTCTCTGATCCAGATAACTCAAGCGAGGATTGCCTGTTCGTGAAGTGAGTCACTTCTGTATCTGCTCATGCTACGCAGAGACTGACGAAGCTGCGATAGCGTACATGTCCCACAGTCGTTGGACGTAGCAGGCAACGCGTCCGCGCCGGTGCTGGTCTGGTTCCACCCTGGTGCTTACATCGTGGGCGGCAACCGCGTATACCCGACTGAGAACCTAGTGCGCAACGCCCCAGGAGATCTCATCGTCGTGAGCGTTCAATACCGCCTTGGTCCATTCGGCTTTCTCGCAGGACAAACTGTCAAGGAGGGCGGCGCATTGAACGCGGGTCTGCTTGACCAGGAGCTCGCTCTGAAGTGGGTCCAGGAGCATATCGCGAAGTTCGGTGGCGACGCAAATCGCGTAGCCATCTATGGCACCTCAGCGGGTGCAGGCTCAGTACTCCAACATATCGTCGCTCATAACGGGGATACACAACCACCCTTGTTCCACGCTGCTATGCTCGGTTCGACCTTCCTTCCAAGTCAATACAGCTGGGACGATCCTTCAGTAGAGACCGCGTACCAGACGCTCGCGAACCAGGTGAACTGCACGGGTGCCGATACGCTGGAGTGCTTACGCGCCGTTGACGCTCCGACTCTGGCGTTGGCTGGAATACGTGCCACATATGCTCCGTTCCTCGGCGGCTTTGCGTTCGTCCCTGTAGTCGACGGGGAGCTGATCACGGAGCGACCGTATGAGATCTTGAAGGGGAAGACTGTGAATGGGGTGAGTACAGGTCATCGCCTCGCTCGCGCATCGCTGATTATCGCGATAGGCACTGGCGTTCGTGATGGGAAATGGTGACGAGGGCTTCGTCTTCGCGCCCGAGTCAATTGTAGCCTCTCTCACAGTACAGAGCTACATCAAGGGTCTATTCCCTGGGTTGGACTCTCACGATTTTGAAGAGGCAACGCGTCTCTACTCTCATCCTGAAGTAACGGCTACCGCGCAAATCGCGGTGCAGATCTACGCGGACAGTAAGTGGCGTCCATCATCATCTCGTCTCGCACATCAATCTGGACTTTCCATAGCCGTATTTAACTGTCCCGGATACGCGGTCTTAGACGCCTTTGACGGTGCAAACAAGCCAGCGTGGAAAGGCCTCTTCGCTGCCCCTCCCGCGTGGCACGGCGACGATCTCATCTATACCTTTGAGAGGTCAGTGATCTCGCCCCTGTGTAAACTTGAAACTTACACCTACCTGACTGTAGTGAGAACCTCGGTCTTGGCGTCACCAAAGTGCCGGAAAGCGACTTACGACTCGCTCATACCATGCGGCAGGCGATACTCGGTGTAGCCACTTCATCTGATCCTAACGCAGCCGCGATGACTTCACAATGGCCGAAGTACAATGCTGCCGAGCGTGAGGAGATGCTATTCAACAGGACGGAGGACGGAACGGGATCATATGCAGAGGTCATGAAGACTGACGAAGGACAGCTGCAGCGCTGCGAGTGGGTACATTCCATTCATCAGACACTGGCTGATGACTGACATCCACCACGCAGGTTTTGGAGGCGGCTTTCAGCGAAGATGGCGCAGTAGAAGAGACTGCGTGTGTTTCTGGACTTGATCTCGAAGAGAATGAAGTGGTACATCTTGAACTGGGTTCAGTACGAGTGCTGTCATTCCATTCATCGTAATGGTAATGCACGCAGATGGAACGCATTGTCCGAGCTAGACATATGTTTCGACTAGAATCATGGAGTTGGAACAACGGGAGCGTTTCCGTGAAGACCGTTGTAGACCAACATATACCCGATCGGGCAAGTCTTGTCTGCCTGGTGTAGCAAAATACAGTTTCAGCTAGATGATGGTGGCCCTCTGGCAAGTCGCGCGTCGCGTATGTCGGGCGCTCGAGCGTCCATAAATGTTAACTTCATCGACAGATCGAGTTCTAGCTCCCCTGCGCTGTCATACAGTCTTTCCATATCGGTGGGTATACGTAGGCTGCTAAGTACGGCACGCCGTTCCAGTCAAGCCTACGCTCGACTCACAACAAGTGGCGAAACCTGGCGAAACGCCTCCATCGGAGACATCGGGCGCTTCGGCCTCCGTCGGTTCTTTCGGCATACCGCACAAGTCCATCCCCAACCCTCACCTCCATCCCCATCCGAGTCGGAATGACTCGGCTGCCACAGTATGTCGCAACTCGTGCCATTGCGGAGCATGCGTCGCAGGTGTACGCGCGTCGACGATGGGTGTGGAGGTTGGCCGGGCAGGAAGAAGCCGGAAGCACTTGCCGGAGCCGGTGGCCACTGGCCACGCAGAGATCCGGCCCGGGACCCGAAAGCGCGAGGTCGGAGCACGACGCTCGCAAGGCTGTGCCACAACCTTGCTGCGCACTTCCTCTCCACAGCTCGTGCGGTGTACCCTCCTGCTTCTTCGCATAGGTATACGTGCCGCCATTACCCCGCGAGCGTGCAGATGCCGGATACGGATGTCCGCCAGGGCGGTGAACGCGCACTAGCACGCCATTGGTACGCCCAAAAAGCGCTGCGCAACGCCACGAGGATCCGAAAATGCGCATCCGAGTCGTGAGTCGCTGGTTGACTCGCGCGGGAAGTATGAGGCGATTTGGTGGCTCTGGCTGAGTGTGTGCATTGCTTGAGGATTGCGCTGCTGCGTACGCGTACGCTGTGCGAAGTGACGCGCAAGCCTGAGCAATATGTCGGCTATCGACGAGCCGTGCCGCGCGACGTGCTCAGCCCGCCTTGACCGTCAAACACCGTCGGCTGAAAGCCTGTCCATTCCAACTGGTAAGCCGCGAGCGTGCGTGTATCTAGATCTGCCGTTGACTCGTATAGGAGCTGGTCTCGTCGAGGACCGCAGGGTAGACCGCAGAGTCATTACGCCTGCGATGGATCGGCAAATGGACCGACATGCGTCGGGAGGGCGGGTCGAGTCCGGCGTAGTCCGATCCAGCTCTACATCGCTACCTGAACATCACAGTACACCTCTAGAGCATGTAGCATGATCCCCGTGAAACCGTACGGTCCAATATCACGATACTATCGCTGTTGGACACTCTGTGTGACGATGACGCGCGTCCGGGCCCGACTGGACTGCAGGCTCGACGTCGTGCGCTACGGTGCGACCCGACAGCCCGAATATCCGTCATATCGTATGTATCGGCGCAGAGGCTCATCTTGAGACCGTACGCGCCGCACATTCACGGTCGTTCCAGAGGAGAAATGGTGCTCCGAGGCGTTCCGCTATCAACGCGGGCGAACTCGAGCGGACTCGAGCGAGCCTCTATGACCGCTCAGGTCCTGCACCAAGCTTGCTCGGCGTCGTTGGATAGCCCGAGAAGGATGCGTATGGTTGCATCTGTCCGTGCGGGACCGTTTGGGCGGCTTAGGGTATGATATGTGGGTCAGGGCGGGTATGGTGCTGCGTGCATGGTCGGCTCGAAGGTGCCGCAACACGTACGTAGGCGCTGGCCGCCGAGGGCGAACACGTCGCAAGGCGATTGAACATCTGTATGCTCGAGGGCCTGAAGAATACAGGAGTCAGTATTATGCATGATGTATGCACCAGGGTTCCAGCATTCAGTAGTACGCGTGCGCTGACGCATATACGGCGATGATTCCGCGTGTATCCCTCGAGTTCAATCGGCTCGGGAAATTGTGGCGTGCGCGTCACATCGAGATCCGTCAGCGCATCGAAGCACCCTCTAACCTGCGATGTTAGTGCACAGAAGGGGATGAAAGATGTCCACAGAATGACCCGCGCCCTCGGATGAGTATAGGAGACCGCTCATCGTTCGTTCATTCATAGGTCAGTCGGCTGCGCAACATGCATGTATGCGCCCATCCAGTCCACCTCGGAGCCCTCAGCTCCGTCCGGAGATAGCGTTGCATTGATTATTAGGCGAGGTAGCGGGTAAGGATAAGCGGCACGAGTGAGAACGAGTGAGAACGCGTATCCGAATGAGTAATTGCGCGACGAGAGTGGCGGTGGACGGGTCTGATCAAGTGTTCGTCACTCCCGCTTACATGAGAGCACGAGCCCAATCTGACTGAGATGCGTGCTGAGTGGTTCTGTATGGCATCGCGTTTGTACGCATCGTCCAAATCAGCGCTTCGGGCACGCACGCGGGGCGGGTCAAAGTAGAGTGAACGTTGGCACATCGATGTGGGCGATGAACAAAGCCAGGAATCGGAAGTACTTCTTCTTGGCGAAGCAGGGAATCCGAAGCACGGGGCGTTGAGGCGGACAAGGCGAGAAGACAACATATAGCGCTATTGTAGAGTAGCGGCGCTGTGGTCCTGAGACATCGAGAAGCAAGCACGCAGCATTCAAGAAGTAAGCTAAATGCGGTGCCGCGGAGAGTCTGACCACGAGCGGTCAAGTTAGCTGTCCAGATCTTTGACAGATATGGACTGGGCCTTGTTCGTGTTCCAGTTGGTGTATCGGTCTCCACGGGCAACGAACAGTCGTCAAGGGCGTAGCTGGATGAGGGACAACGTTTGACGAGAACAATCCGACTGAGGGCACTTGATCGGGAAGCGGTGCGCTGCGTATACATGTCAGGCGCCCGCAGACGTGAAGACGGATGAGTGACGGCAGACAGCAGGGCGCGAGAGGGAGGAGCGCAGAGGTAAGCGCTGGCTGATGGTACCGCGGATAATCAGATTTCTTGATTCTTTTGTAACTAACTCGGGCGTAGAGACGAAGGGGCGTGGTGTAGGCATGGCGTGTGGTGTGAGGCTAACTGATGAGGAGGTCCTAGCACTATCGGAGAGACAAACGAGAGTACGAGTGGGGAACAAAAGGTGGCTCGAACAGTATTCAGTGCATAGGGCGACAAAAGAGAGGGTCCGAGCGCAGAGTCAGGGAAGGTGACGTGTGACGAGTCCACGGGAGTAACGGCATGTCAAGCGGACGGCGGGGAAAAGCGAGAGAAAATATTAGGTAGGGATGTACGAACGGAGGGAGGAGGGGGGATCGAGAGGATCACGAAAGAGGAAAAGCGGAAGCGATGCGGGACCTGCGTCTAGTCAAGGGAGGTGAAACGGGCGAGAGGGGGAAGGAAAGGCGTGAGTCGGTGACAGGCGCGGTATAAGTTGGTGTGAGTCAAGTGCTCTGTCCGCCCACCTCGCCCCGGCCCTTCAAAAGCGCGCCCCTCGTCCTCATTCTACTGCCAGCCAGCCTCCGCCCCGAATAACCCGGATCGACTAGTACTCGTACTGGTCTTTCCAATAAATCTCAGCTTATAACAATGAGATCTGCCGCTCCAGTACGCTACCGACTCTCCCCCGCCTCCTCGACTTTCTCCCTCTCTGTTTCGGTCTCGGGCTCTCCTCTTGGTTCTTTGATTAACAACAACACTCCCTCAGTCGATGCTCTCCTGCTTGTTTGAATCTCCCATATTTTAAAGTCTCTACCTATCGTCTTTTCCAAACTGCAACTCCCAACTCAGTCTCCCTGCACCGATGCACGCACTTTCCCACCATGCCGTCCACCGCGGCCCCGCGAGCGCCTCGCGCGCCCGGGTCCACTGCCACCAGCCATACTCCCGCCCGCCTATCGCACCTCAAACTGTTCGCACAACCCCCGCCGGCCCCTCATTCGCCACCCAAACCCCCATCGCC